TGAGCACCTCTGACCTTCAGCCCCCTCATCAGGGGGGATAAGAATAATATCTGCACCTCTCTGGGATATTTGTAGAATCCTTACATGAGAAAATGGGGGAGGCCTCACCAGGCCCTGAAAATGAGCAAGTGGGGTGCAAGCAGGGTGAATGGGCATAGGGTGGCAGACACCTCCAGGAGGCAAGATACTTCGAGGATGGAATCTCACAAGGCTGGTGGAGGAGCCGCGCATTTGAGCAGGGCATGGAAAAGCCAGGAGGACTCGGGTTGACTGAGGGAGGAGGAGCGTCCTAGGAGGCAAGAATAGCATGGACTAAGGCTCAGAGGCAGGATACTGGAGCAGCTCAACCCCTAGTGTACCTGGAGTATTCTGCAGGTTCATGAGCCTGGTTTGAAGTAGGCAGGGCCACACTGGGCTTGTTACCTAATCCTGTAAAATGGGCACATAGATGCCCTCCCTAAGGCCCTGGTGAGCATTAGCAGTGAGACAGTCTGGGTCAGAGATGGCACATGGTGAATGTGCCTCAAATAGAGCCGCCTCTGGTACCTGGGGCAATTCTAGGGAGGAAGGAGAAAGAAGAGGAAGTGCATTCAATAACAGACTCAGATTGCGGGTGGAATCCATGGAGTAGACATCAGCTGTGTCCTCCCAGGAGGTTCCAACTTCATCCCTCACTTTTGTGTGCTGTGGTTACTCAGCTCAATGGAGTATTATTATTCAGCCATAAAGCAGGATGAATTCAAGTCATTGGTCAGAAAATGAATGAAGCATGAGACCATAATATTAAATGAAATAAGTCAGGCACAGAAGGTTAAATATGGGATGGTTTCTCTTATTTGGGAAACACCAAATATAAATAAATTCCAGAGTAGAATAGGGCCAGGTGCAGTGGCGCATGCCTGTAATCCCAGCACTTGGGAGGCTGAGGCAGGAGGATTGCCACGAGTTTGAGGCCAGCTTGGGCTACATAGCAGGTCCAGGCAAGCCTAAACTACATAGTGAGACCCTGGCTCATAAAAAAAAAAAAAAAAAAAAAAAAAAAAAAAAAGTAAAATAAAGAAGAGATGGAAGGCAACAGGGAGGCTTTTGGAGTTGGGGACCAGGGGAAGAGGGGAAAGGAGATTGAAATGATCAAGATAGGATATATGTGTGCCAATTCCCCAAAACAAAGGTAATTATTATGTATTGTAAACATATACGAATATGAAATTTTAAAAATTAAAAAACAAGCATAAGTGCTCGGAACTCCAAATGAAACACCAGAAAGCGGGAAAAAAAGAGCATGCGGTGTCACCGGCCACAGCCATCTAGGAGGCAGGCACACAGGCGGCAGGGGAGGAGCAACCCCATGCCCTGCGGCTCCAGCGGTGCTGTCTCTGGTGCTGGTGCACAGTTCCACATCCACCCACCCGTGCCAGAGGGCACAGGGATTCAAAAGAGACCCAGCCGGGTGGAGGAGAGGACAGAGCAGATGCGTGAGGCATGGGTGGCAGCCGGGGTTGGGCAGGCACACGGAGGAGGTGAGATCGAAGCAGAGATGGCTTGGGGGCTCTGCAGGCAAGGGCGTGGAAAAGAAGGAAACGCCAGAGGAGGAATAGCAACCACCTCTGCCGAAACTAAGGGAGTCACCCCGCTGCCTTCCTTCTGGCAAGGACAATAGAGAATTCTGTGAATGAGTAACCACTGTGATCTGACACTGCGGCCCACACTGCTGTAGCAGGGCAGAAAAGCTGGGCTAATGAGGACGTGCTCTCTGAGATGGAGGCCCAGCTCATAGGTGCCCTGCTGCTGAAAAGCTCTGAGTTCTGAGGGAGCACTTGACTCCAAGCCTCAGTTTCCCCATCTGTATAACAGGCTGAGAGTAGTACTGAGGTTGTCCTGCGGGTCAAATGAGAAGCCCCAGCGAGATCTCAGGGCATCACCAGCATGAGGGAGGCTATGCTCCTCAAATGTGAACACAGACACTTTGCCTGGGGGGCTGCAAACAAGTAGGTCTTGGGGTCCCATTGCCTGCCATCTGCCACCATCAGCGTGGGGTGGGACCCAGGAATCTGCGTTTTACATTCCTGTACCCACCCAAGTGATTCTGAGGCAGATGCTGGGGAGAGCACCCTATGAGAGACGAGTTCCCTAAGCCATGTTACCAACATTGATTTCCATTCAATTCCGGACAGCCCTGCAAGGTCTGAAGAGAACACCCATTTCCCAGAGGAGGGAAGAGGCTCAGAGGTCACACAGGGAGGGATTGGCCACACCAGGGTCTGGCCCTGGGTCTGCCAGCCTCCAAAACCATAACTGGTCAGCCTTCTTCCTGGCAGAGGCAGGGTGGGCATCCCTACCTCATTCTTACACTCCTCCCCGCAGCCCCATTGTCATTTCCTCCCGGCTGCAGCTAATCTGGCCTTGCAGACTATCCCGTTTCCTGCTGACCCACAGCTGCCTCCTTCACTCCGCTCCCAGCTGGCACATCCTGCCCCTGTGCCCCTCTCCAGAGGGGTCTGGCAGGGAGGGGCCAGGCAGTGCCAGAGACTGGGCATGAGATCCTCAGGGGGCCAGAAGGGACACTGACTCACCCACCTCTGGGCCTTTGCTATGGTGCCAGGGGCTGATCAGACCCTAGATACCTATGGAGGAATCGCAGAGAATAAAGAAAGACAAAAGATAATATTTAAGATTCAAGGAGAACCTGGAGGAGTTCTCCTCTAGTGAACTGGCTCTCTCATCTCTCGGTGTTGTCCTTTAGAAGCTGAGGGGTGTACTTTTTCTGGAACAGCGCGGGGATAATAAAATGGGGATCAAGGTTAGCATTTCAAAGGGAGCAAGTTGAAGTCATTATCTTGTCTCAAGATATTATCTTGTCTCAAGAGGCTGTGAATATGAGCCTTCCCAACACAGCCAGGGAGCGTGCAGCTATTTGTAAACTTTCCTGTCCCTTGAGGCAAGTCACACTGGCCTTGAGCCACAGGCTCGCAGTCACGTAGCCTGGTTCCTAACATAATAAACTATTATTTCATATCCCCTGGTCCCCAGAAGCTATGGGGACCTCCATTCTACCCCTGGGGCACAAGGCAGGTGCCTGGCCAAAAATCCTCTTGTTTGTAGGTGATAGCAACTCAGTTTTCAGGACAGAATCCTTCCTCATGAAATGGCAGCACAACAGGAGCGGGCACATGGTGGCGGGACGGGCCCTGTCCTGTCTGCTACCAGCGGAGAGTCCGAGACCCCACAGAAAGTGACAGCCTGGCCTTCTTTCCCCCACAGACCATGAGGGCTGGTGGTTGGCACCTGCAAGGATGAGGGGAAGAGGGCGGGGCACAAGGGGACACAGCGCGCCAGGCAAAATACAGAGGAGACCCTGCAGAGAAGGAAATGCTGAGCTGTTGTTTGCTCAGCCCACAGGCTGTGAGTGACCTGCAGGTCCCGCTCAGAGCTGGCCCCACAAAAGGTCCCCAGCTCACTCCCTCGCTCCAGTGCTGTCTGTCATGCCCGTCTACTGGATTCTCCCTCGGAACACAAGCCTGCCACCCACCGCAGCTGAAAACAACCTTACCAGACTTCTGCTCCCATGCGTGGCCAGACTGGCAGGGGCCTGGGGTCACACGCAATCCGACTTTCTCAACCCTCTCCACTACCCTCCCTCATCGGTCTCTTTAAGCCCCTTTTGTTTAGCCTGCTCCGGTCAAAGTTGATAGTCTCATTTCCCAATTTCAACAGGGACATGTCAGCCATCTGCTTACCCAGCTGACCCAGTGACTACCCCTCCATGCCCACCTGGCTTCCTGGCCCCATTCTGACTGGACCCTGTTCTGCAGAGCCGAGCATGAGAGAGCCCAGAGCTCCATCCCAGTAAACTCATCCACTTCCATGGCTGCCCCTGCGCCAACCATAAACTCGCAGCTCCCAAACCTCACCTCAGGGCTGATCTCACCCCACCTCCACTTACCAACCCTGGGTGTCTTGTGGCCACCTCGAACTCCTCCTGCCCAAAATAGAGCAATATTTGCCTTCCCTTCCCCCCAAATTTTCTTCCTGCTCTTCCTTATCTCATTCCCTGACTTCCTGAGTGTCCCTGAGCAAACCCCTCCCTCCTGGGGTCTCTATTGTCCCTGCCGAGTCGTGGAACAAGTTCGGGACTTCCCAGCCACTCACTCACCCACGGAAAACCAGGGCAGCTCTTCAAAGGACAGATTCCCGGCGCCTGCCCGGAGATTCCACATCAATCAGCCAGCAGCAGGGTCCGGGCCTCTGTAGCTTTTAGGAGCCCCTCATGAGTACCTGAATCTCGGCCCTTCTCTCTCCCGGCTTCTTGGTTCTGAGGAGCTCTGGTCAAGCGTCTGTTTCCCTGTCCTCCTAGCCCTCTTCTGACTCCTGTTTTTCTCAGCACTGCAGTTACTCCCACTGCCAAGAGCTCTCTGCCACCAAAGACCCCTGCCACTGCATGCATGTGCAGGGTCACCATAGAAAACCCAGCTGAATCCCTGAGTACTACAGTCCAGCTGGTGGACAAGCACCTCAGCCCCATTGTGCCTCAGTTTCCTGGGCTCTAAAATGGGGGTCATGATGCCTGGTGTGGTGGCACACACCTGTAATCCCAGCACTCAGGAGGTTGAGGCAGGAGGACTGCTGTGAGCTTGAGGCCAGCCTGGGCTACATAATGAGTTCAAGGTCAGCTAGAACTGCATAGCAAAACCCTGCCTCAAAAAATACAAAAGAAAAGTGGGGGTGGGGGTCCACGACACCTGTTTGGGAAATCCAAAGAGGGGCTAAATGCCCTGATGCAGGCCCAGACCTCCCCACAGCCAGACCACTGGCAGGTGCTGGGCTCCCAGCCCAGGCCCTGAGGCCTGGAATTGGGATGGAGTTAAGTGTCCCCAGAGGGCTGGGCGAGGTGTCCGCCCACCGTGGGGTCTGCCTATCTGTGGCAGCCCAGCCCTCACAAAGCAACAATAACAGGAAACCATCCTGGGGGAGGAAGTGGGCCCTGTCCAGCTGCAAAACCTGGAAGGAGGAAGCCGGCCTCCCTCGCGCTGGGTGTGGCTCGCTCCAGAGGCAGCCAGCCGAGATCCACTCCACTCTTGGCCCTGGACAGAGACGGAACAGAGGGACTCTCAGCCCGTAGGCACGGTAAGCGGGGGCTCCCACATGCCTCTCCCCCTGGCCCATTGTCAGCTTCCCCATATCTAGAGTGGGTATCGAGGGCTCCCTGACCAACTGTGGCGCCTCAGGGGTCAGAGCAGGGCTGGAAAAGGTGCGGCCGGTGGTGGCCCCACAGGAACAAATGCCTGTGTCAGAGCAGGACCCTGAGGAGAACACGGGTTCTACAGTCCAACCCCATATGGCCCCAGGGCTCACTGGCTTCCATCAGGCTCAGAGAGGGCAGGGATCTGCTCCCCGTCACCCAGCATATTGGGGCAGAGGACTGGCACCTGGGTGTTGGCTTCTCCTTGGTTCTCTTCCTCTGTGGGAGAGGATTTACCAAGGCCTGACCTCACCTCCCTTCACCCCTTAAGGGGCTGTGTTGGGATTTGGGGAGGAGCTCTGAAAGGGGAGATCTCAGCCTCAGTCCCTCTCTCGGTGTCCCCTATTTTCAGGGTAGGCCACCTATGGCTTGGCTGTGGACACTTAGGGTCCTGTCTATAAAATCCCCTCCCTCCTTGCCCCAGTCACCATAGGGGGCAGCTTCATGCTATAGGATCTGCTGCTGGGAAACACCCAGTTCCCCAAAGGCTGGGACGGGAGCCCTGGGAACCCTCGAAGCTCAGGGAAGTCCACCCAGAAGACTGCAAAGGTGAAAGCTGGAGGCAGCCACCTGGACACAGATCCCCTCTCTACTACTCGCTGGGGTGGGACTCTGGAGAAGTCTCCACACCTCAGTTTGCTTACCTGAACAATGGGAAGAGAGACGATGGGCAGTGAGAACAGGAAGTAAGGCGCATAGAAGGCTTTTGAACAATGGGGGCTCCTTAGCCCTCACCCTGCACCCCTGGGAAATAGACAGATCCTTTCTTCACGTCCTGGTGAGGGCAGTAGAGATTTGGAGAAGAGGCTGGGTGGAGAGCTGAGCTAGGATCTTGTCTTCCAGAGTCAGGCTCTTTCCAGACCCTGTGGTTTCTCTGCGTGGTCATCTGTGAAATGGGGAAGTAATGTTTTCCTCGGTCGGTTAAATACGACGTTCACACTTGGCTTTGGGATTGGCAACTAACTGGGGATCTTTGAGGCATCAGGGCTGAATTTGCCCTTTACCTGAGAGCATAAGTGGCTATGAATGTCCTAAAGATTTGACTCCCCCAAGCTATGGTCACAAGCCCCCCACTCACCCCACCCTGTCGGCAACAGGCCGAGTAAGAGGGTGCCCATCAGCCCTTTCAGAGCAGTAGGCACCCCTGGGCTCCTGCTCCATACTGGGCGCTGGGCTCGCCCCTCATCCCATGGGCGTGTGTGGTGGGCAGCAGGGACTCTGAAGGAGAGGGAGGACGTGGCAGGGAGGAGAGACACCTGGGAAGGGTGGAGGTCCTGGGGAGGCTGGTGCTGTCCGCGTGTCTGTAGACAAGGGGTGGAGGCCGAGTGGTGGGAAGGCCCGTGACCTGCAAGCCGGGCTCATCCTCAGGCAGGGGAGACACAGGACTTGTCTCTGTCCGACCTGAGTCCAGCCATGCACAGGCCCTATTCTGAAAGGCACTGGGTGGTCCTGGAGGGGTCCAGGAACAGCAGAGCTCCAAGTAGCCCAGCTAATCACAGCTTCTTGTGCTGAGAGCTCAGGGAGCAGCCTCTGAGCATGAAGGGGTTAAGCTGCCCACCCTGCAGTCTCGGCTGGGACCATTGTGAGCGAAACAAGGGCCGGACATGGGGCAGGAAACCAGAGGGTCCATACTTATTTTCTCCTGAAGTTGTGTGACTCACAGCTCCACTACTGCCTCAGGAACACGAAAGGGACACGGTAGCCACCATCTCAGGAAAAACTTGGGCCCTTGGCCCTTGGGCACCCATGCTTGTTACCCCTATCACCCCTTCGCACCCTTCTCCTTGGGTGACCTGAAGCTACTACAAGGATTCTTGTGTGACAGAAGGGATCCCTGAAGCTCAGAGAAGCAAAAGGGCCAGTCCAAGATCACACAGCTAGTGTCAGAAGCAGAACAAGAGTGAGATCAGCCCCTTCTGGCCCCACAGCCTAGGCCACACTCCACAGAGAAGCTCAGTGGAGGGGACACTGGGCAGTTCAGGCCATGAAAGCAAGCGCAAGGATCAACCAGGAACTTTCCCCAAGGTTCCTGGGTAAAGAAAGTTCTAGAAGACAAGTCTTGTACTCAGGAGCTTGCTTCTGGCTTGGGAGATGCCAAAAAGCCCATTGTGACAGAGGTCCAGGCTGGTGCTGGGTGGGAAAATCACAGAGGGCTTCCTGGAGGAAGAGGAGGCCTTGGGCAGCCTCTCCGCAATCTTAGCCTCAGTCTACCCATCTCTAAACTCAATCAGGGAGGCTCTGGATGTCAGACTGTGGCAGGTACAGACTGACAGGAGGACTCAGTGAGTGAGATTCCTTCAGAAGAGCAGAGGGGACCAGGCGGTGGGCCCGGAGCAAAGCCAGGAAATGAGATCAGGGGTGAGTCGCCAGTGGCTGCCACAGCTGCCAGGATGGATGGGTTGGTAGATGGGGCAGGCACCCCCACACTTACTGAGCACCTACTGTGTGCTGGGCTTAGCACCCATGATGTCATATACTCCTCCCATTTAGGGAAGCAGCTACTGCTTCCATCACAGATGAGGTCACTGAGGCCCAGAGTGAGCAAGGAATGGGCCCAAGGCCACACAGCTCATGAGCAGCAGGGCAGGTTGAAACAGGCAGGGGCGTGAAGCTCACTGTTGCCTCCACTGCCCACCACAACCCTCAGTCAAAGCCAGGCAGCCCAGGGAGGCAGGAAAGCGCTGGGTGAGTGTCCCCTGCCTAAAGCTTGGAGCTGTCACATAAGAGTCAGGAAGGTAGACTGGATGGCCTGTTGCTCAGAGACCCAGCACCAACTTGTTCCGGGTGGCAAACAAAGAGTGGTCCATTGGTCTCTCCCTCAAAGATTATTCAGGGACTGGATTCAAGTTCAGTGGGAATGAGCGCTGTGATTGATGGACAGTGTCTGCCATGGGAGAGGGCAGAGGAGGGTGGTACTCTTTGCATTCTGTTTTTCAAGCTCTGCCATAAAAGGCCCCCTGCTCAGGGCTATGTGCACATTCCTCAGAGACCCCTAAGAAGGTTAATCTCACTGCCCCCTCAAAATCCTCACAATGGTGTATCTGGCAGTGTGATGGCCATTCCAGAAGCTGTCTGGGGACCATTAGGAGCTTCTTAGGTTACACCAGTAGTTGCGCCTGCTCTGACCACCACAGGTGTTGTCTGCAAGTACATGGATTGGTTTTTAAGTCCTGTGAGTGGGAAAGGAGTCAGTAGCAAGCTGGAGACCAAGCTGGGCTGACAGGTAGCAGTGGGGATGCTGACACCTGTATGCCTGGGGCCGAAATGGAAACCTGAACCTGTCTGGGCAAAGATGCTCAAGCCAGAGGTCAGAGGCCATGCTGGGACCAGATAACAACTGGAAGACAGCACAGAGGAGGCGGCCTGGGGCCTGAAACTAAGTAAAGCATTTACCCAGAGAACACAGCGAGGAAAGTCACTCCAGGAAACGGCCTGTGATAAAAGCCTACTAGTAAGAGGAAGAGCTTTGTGCAACCCAGAAACTTCTAGTTCTCATAGCCAGAGAGGTAGAGGAGAGGACAGCTGGAGGGGACACTGTGCTGGGCCTTGAAGGTAAGCTCAGGGTTAGACTTCCTCCTGTGAGGAGGGGGAAGCTGAGGCAAGGGAGGCTATTGGCAGAACGCTGCAGGGAGGGGAGCATTCTGGGACCCCCAGGAGCAGGTCCAAGGCTGAACTGAGCCACAAATCTAAAGGAAGTCCCAAGGGGCCAGCTCCTGGCAGCCTGGACTCACTCATCCCCAGGGACCAGGCCTCACCTTTCACCCACAATCAGCCTCTTTCTTCCTCCGTGTAAAAGCTGGAGCGCATGCAGACAGTTTGGGGGTCCCTGGAAGAATCTGGGGATTATCGGGTCCCACCCCATCCTACATTGAGACTTGAAGTGTGGGGTAAGTGGGCTGCCCTGGGCCACCCACGGAGTGGGCCATCCACCACCCCTACCACGCACCTCCCCACAGGACACCTCCTATGTTCTAGGCCATCTCCTCCCACCGCCCTGCCCCTCATCCCTGACCCAGGGCCTCTGGGCTGGAAGCCACCAGCCACAGGAGGCTGGGCTGGGCTGAGCATTCCTTCCACCCTCCCTGGAGCCAGATCTCATCTCAGCCGAAGGCCTTGTGCTGGGTGAACCAGAGGGGAGCGAAGGGCCAGCCCCGCACAGGGCCTCTGTGGACTCAGGAGCCTGTGCATAGGCTGTGGACTCCTGCGGGCATCTCTGAGGGTGTAGGGGTCCCTATGGCCTGGGGATGCAGTGTATCTCTGACCTGGTGCCTCCCTCTCCTCCTTCCCTGGGCCTCCAGCGCATGCAACAAACCCCGCAAAGCCCATAACTGAGGCTTGTTGGGACCCAGTTAGATGGAGGGAGAGGACCAGCCCAGGGCATTTGCCGTTGCCCCAGTGAGGGGCTCCCAGCTGGGCCCAGACTTCCTACCACCTATTAACTACAGAGCCAGAGGGTGCTGAGGGTCCCAGGTTAGCCCCAGCCAGCGGCCATGTGTCTCCTCCTGGACGGTATTCCAAGCCTCCTCCCAAGGTGGAACCTAGACACTGCAGAGCTGAGCCCACCACACAGCCACTTCGAGGCTGACCCCAGGCACAGAGGGGCCACAAACAAAAAGGGAGCCAAGGGCCTCTGCCTGTGACACTGTGAGGCTGTGATTTGTGTTGTCTCCCATGGAGCTATTTGTGTTTGCTCCTCACAATAGTTCAGTGCCTGGCAATAAAAAATGCTCCAGCAGGGCGAGTTGCTCAGACCTATAATCTCAGCACTCAGGAGGCTGAGGCAGGAGAATCACCATGTGTTCAAGGCCAGCCTGAGCTACCTAGTGAGTTCAAAGCTAGTCTGAAGTGTATAGCGAGACCCTGTCGAAAAAAACCCTCCATAAAT